CACACACATATGTTGTGCAACTTATCACTTACCTGATCTGCACGTGTGATGATAAGTGGATGGAATTGGAGAATCACTGTGATGTTGTACGTGTAACCATCTCGACGCTACAAATAACAATCGAATTATTTCGGTGAAACGCATTTGAACCATTAAACAATTGAGCATAAATATCGTGAGTCACTTGTGTTATCAATGTAAAAATTTCTCTTTGAAATACAGTTCTTTACTAGCGATTCTAACTAGTTACAGTTTTTTTGGAGAAACTGAATGGAGCTGCTGATTTTTCAAGAATTCTCAGTCAGATGTGGAAACAACACAGTATCGTGCATTATTCTTTGCATTGATGTTTCCGAGTACTGTTTCGCTTCTCGTGCTAAAAGAGAAATGAACCAAAAAATTGATCGATTACTCGAAGATCAATCTGTCATCATGAGCACCAAATTCTCCTCGTTTTTTTTTAGATACGGGTGACGGAATCGAAAGCTTCAATTTCGAAGATATTTTCCTCAGCTTGACAACAACTTATCATCGACGGAGAGTTTGTGTAATTTTTAAATTGTTCGATCACTGGTCATATTTTTGACATAATGAAAAAGATAATCACTTTAGAAGGTGTCTTCGACAAGCCACAGGTTCCTTCGACGAACGTAATTGAAATTTCTCTCGAGCTACCATCAGTGACCTGAAAAATGCACAAGCTTCATCATTATCATTTCTGAAAGTTCCCTAAAAACCCCTAATCACTCCAAAATATTGCTCATATTCCCCGCAATTACGCAAGTCTAGTTTCAACATCACTTGTTTTCTTTCATTTGAGAATAATACGGCAATTAAAATGATCAATTAAATCGTCTTGTTTATCTCATAATGCCATGAATAGAGACGAACACTATAAATAGAGACAATAACAACGATAATTTATGATTGTTTAGGTAACTCAGATCAAAAAATGACGGCAATTAATATTGTAACGTCTATACTGACAGTTTTCATCCCAACAAAACAATAGTGATAATATTGGAAACCTAATAACCATGATGAGAAAAATGATGAAAATCCTTTATAATGATCCGAATAAAATTGACGAACATATTTGCCAAAAATAAGACGAATTCAAATAACTGGATAAAATTTCCTCATTCATCTGAATTGATTCATCGAATTGGAATGCTCAACGCTTAAGATGGAATGCTTGGAATGCACAAAAACTGGCTTGTTGCTTTCATCGAAACTGTGATAAAAACATTCTATGACCCACTCAATAACAAGTTGATCTTGTTTTCAAAAATTAATAGTGGCTGCTTAAGCAATCATTGTCTTAATTCAATAATTAGTTCTGAAGAGACTTTAAATTCAGAACGTAATGACTATCGAAGCAATTTTTTGATGAAATATTATTTGAATGCTTCTTTGAAACGAGCAAGAGTTCAATGTTCACGAGATATGCACGAAAAAAAGCCGTTTGAATATGCAGATATCTATCGATGCCTAGTTTGATGGAGCGATTTCATGTGATCAAAACTGTCACCAATAATTACGAGTGAGCCAAGTGATTACCCTGACGCATTTAGAATCATCATGATAGAGCTGTGCATACATCAGACCAGTCATTGGCTTTTGTGTTCTCACGGTGAACGTTAGCGAATTTTGTCCGCATGTTACGTCGGTTGCGCCTCGAACTCGCGGCTTCGCATCTGGGTCTAACGTCATTCCTGGACAACCGAAGCCGACAAACCCTAACAGCACATTCTCAAAATCCTGGAAATTGAATTGAAAGTTTCTGGACGTTCTGCAAGCTTTTCTGTCAACCAACATTCAGAGGTTGACAGAATTTCAAGAATTTCCATGAAAAAAACGATCAATTGCTAAACTATCGCATAGGCTCGACATTTTTTCCAATTAGTCAGGCCTCATTAATACCTCAGCATTACTTCATTCGTCGTGTTGGTGAAATCGCAGGAAATGTCAGATTTTGATGAGAACCCGATGAAAGATAGTTACAAGTTAGATAATAGTTACAAAAATAACCTGAACATTGGATGGAGTGAATACTTTCGATGCATCTTCTGTAATGCCCAACAGTTCACGCTCATCTACGTACGGTCTTGGGGTCATCGAAACGGCTAAAATCTCAACTCCTTCGGATTTAAGACGTTGCGCAAGATTTCTCGGAGAGCGTTGTGAATGACCGTCGGTCAATACAATGGCTAGTTTCGGTACCCCTTCTCGTGCACCTGCAAAAAAGCTGTGCTATGTGCTGAACTGCAAGTAAATCCTTGTGAAATTCAACTGCAGTCAATGATACATCAGCACGGTATCTATTATAACAAGTATCACTTATTGTATTAGGGTATTGGTTATTGCATTTGATGGTGTGGTGATTGCCGGTTCGGACAAATATCTATGTGTTTTCATGAGATTTTCGCCATTTTTTCAGTTTATGTTGATGCATTTATTGTCATGTGACCGTTGGTTTTCTGATCATTACATCACAGCTTGAGTTTCAACCATGTAATTTCTCAGTTTAGGACAACTGCAGAGTCTCATGTACTTGGGTTGAAATCAATTTCGAATCACAAATGAAATGTCAATTGGCTAATAAATTGACTGAATGAATCTAGAGATCATGCACATCACCATACCGCTGTCTCCATCTCGATTGGTGAACAGATCATACGCTTCGTGTAGAGCCAAATGTGTCGATGTTGTGCCTTTGATTGAACGTAACGTGTTCAAATGACGAATCACCGCTGTGTTATTACCATACGTGAAGTCGTTGAATTTGAAATGTACAAATGGATTGCCCGAGAAGGTGATTAACGCCACTCTATAATTAACGTATTATAAAACATAGACTCCATCATATTAATTAATAATTCGGTGAATATACGAAGCCATAAATATTAATAGCCTTGCAAATCAACGATAATGACCGTTATCGAAGAGATTTGATCCAATTGCAGAGCATCTATTTGAAAGACACTGAGAATGTGCTATCTATGCAACGTTTGAGGTACAAATCAGAATGGAGATTATAATAATGCTTAATAAGTAATGGTCATGCTTTCAAATAAACCAAAATATCACCTGACAGCATCCGGATGTATGTTGATGTTGTGAACGACACGT